GTCATTTACTACCATTATCTTCTTTATCTGTTGGTAACTCATTTCTTTTACTTTCTCTAGTGTTTTTTGTTGGTATTTATTCATTGACTTCATTAGTTTCCTCCGTGCTTTAGGTACATTTCTGTGGAGAACATTCCCGAGTGTTTTCTCTACAGCCAGTTTAGCATTAATATATCTCTGCATTGGTCTTTCCTATGGAAATAAATTATTTCTCCATCTACTTTGAAGGAGAGCTTTCCTGGGTAAGTTAATCTGGGATGGAATTTATTCACTCTTTTGATTTGAAATACTTCACTCTAAGATCTTGCCTTCAGGCTTCATGCTGAAAAATGTGCTGTGATTCTCACTGGTTTATCTTTATATGTGATATTTTGTTTTTCTCTGACTGTCTTTAAAATCCTGGGGATTTTGGCTCAATACCTGTGAATTTGCTAAGAACATACCTTGGTGAACTTCTGCTTTCATCATAATCATTTGGAGTTCTACAAGCATCATTTACTTGCATCTGGGATGCTTTCTCTCATAATCTCCTGAGAAGGTTGGTGAACCCATCTGTGAAATCTTCTAGATTTTGTCTAACTCCAATTATTCTTCTTGTTATCATCTAGTAGCTACTGGAAAGTCTTCTCTTGTTTCTCTTATTTTCTTTTTGGCTTCTTTGAGCTCTTTACTGTAGTTCACTATTTTGTCCTCAATATCAGATGCTTTATGTTCACACTGGTCATTTCTGAAATGGATGAATTCTCTACTGTTTCTTATTTCAGGAATTTTTGTCAAATATTTTTGAAGACTCTATATCTTTGTTTAATCTGTCATTCTAATTTTGAACTGTGTTGGTGAGTTTGTGCAGTTTCTTGATTATTTCCCCAAAATTTACTGGGGGCATATTGAGTGTAATTGCTGCAAAGTTTTGGTTCATTTTCTCCTTGAACTCATGTATTTTCTTTGACCCTTTTAAGACCTTTGATAGACTTTTGCTATCTGGTATTTGTTTTCTTCTCCCTATGTAAAACTTTACTCTATCTTGAGGGATCTGGGGTGTAGGAGATATTCTACTTCCTTGTTCCCTTGTTATCATACTTGTGTCAGTATTTATCTATCAATGCATGTACATTTTTAATTATATGAGTCCCCATCCTTTCTCTTCTTCCTTTTGTGGAGGTTAATGCAGGTTGGGGACTAGAAAAGTGAGAATAGAGGTTATGTGGTTATATGGAGCTTTTAAGTTGGATGTTGCCTCTCTATGAATAATTTTAAGCTTTGTATGTCTAATTGTAGTATTTACTCTTTCTATTATTTACTGTAAGTGATTTTGACTCTGTCCCTATGTTTTTGATCCAAGAATTGCTTCAGTTTATAACAGCATCTACATATTCAATTTTATAACATTTCCATTTGATAATCCTTGCAGGTAGTCTTCCCGCTTTGTCTATTCTCTAAATGAGGGAGAGAACCTGGACACCTATTAAATCAGAGCCAAGGAAAGCACAGAAATACAAGAGTAGACACCTAATACACACATGAAACCATAAAAGAATATAACTCCACATTACTCAACAACTTAAGAAACATACAAAAATGCAAACCAATAAGACGTCTGATGGGAATATGGAACAGATGTTCCAATGAGCCATTGCATATGTGACTCCCCAATATCTTCTTCACCAGATAATCTGAGTGTGCACACCTCAGTACCACTATGATCCCTCCACTGCAACACCGGAGTTAATTCAGACTCAGAACCACTTTCTGTCAGGTTGCAGGCATTTTTGCAAGGTTTGATCCTGTCCAAGTTCTTGGGTTAGGAACTTTTGCTGTCTCTTTTACTGGATGCAATGGTGGATTTGGTAGAAAAGTTCACTGGCATTACATTGTCCTCTGAGTCAGGATTATTCCTATTAAATCAATTCAGCTACAGCAGTAACAGTCTAATCTGTTTCAGTGGTGTCTATCAGAGCTGGTTGAGAAATAACATACCAAACATAGCCCCTGCTTTGGGTCTCCCTTTAGCAATGGGAACACAGCACCAGTGTAAACTTCCAGGCCTGGATAACTCCAGCTCAATATAATGCTTGGTCACAGGTCCTGAGTCTGTGGTTGCTAGTCACTGCCTTTTAACTGGGCTCACTTCACTCTGCTCTCCAACTATCAGTCTTCTTGAGTATCTTTCCCCCATTAACTCTGGGACTTTGGCAGTATAAAGCCACCAGGGGCCTGCTCTGGGATTGAAGTTCGAACTCCCAGTCCTTTCCCACAATGTCTCTCATCCTGCACCTGCACTGCGCAGCTATGTCCTGGGGCACTTATAATGCACAGACTCACCTCCTATTTCCACCGGAAGGTCACTCAGAATCAGAGACTTGCTTTCTTCTCACCATCTCCAATTCCAGACTCAGACCTTGTCTTGGATAAGCCGGGCTGCTGGAATTCACTGCTTTGCCATTTTGTCCTCCCTCCTATGTTTCTTGTTGATGTTCTCTGAATCTCTCTGACGTGACTCTTCCTCTACTCAGCCATGTTTTTGATCTTCCCTAGCTTATTTCTTCTCTGTGAATCTTTTTTCAGCTTCTGTGATGTGATTCTTTCTCTAGTCAGCCATGCTGCATCTGCTGTTTCAGACTTTTGCCTTGTCCAGGAACAGGTCCATTATTTGACTGGAACCTCTGCCGTCCCGTGCAGAGGGGCAGTAATACAGAGGCAGCTCCAAGTTGGTGGTGGCTGAGGTGAGCAATGGAATCCACAGTTGTGGAGCTGGTTGGGGAGCAGCCCACAAGTCAGAGCATTCCGCAGGGGCTACAGGTCTGAGTGTTCTTCCCCTGGATCGCGGGTCCTGACAATGAGAAAATTTTAATGACCATTTATGTCTAGCCCCTAGAATAGAGTCCTAGAAGGAATAAACATCAAGGGAATATTTTTGAATATTGCATCTGCATGAATATTTAGTCTATCTGGGTTTAACTGTAAAAGAAAAGAAAGAAATATTATCAAAATATTTTCTTTTTGTTTTTAAAATACAATCTTGGCTGACGGGTCTTCTGATTTTCATGTAATGATAAAAAAGAATAAAATTCCTTAAAACTTCTTAATGCATTCATATAATTTTAAAGTACAAAAATCACCATGTAGTTAAAACAATGTCATCTAAATCTTGTTCAACATTTTGGAGAAGATATCATTTTGTGTCATGTCTTCTGAATAGTTTATATATAGTTATAAAGGTACTGATACTATGTTTACCCTTATCTAGTTACAGCTAATTAATTAGCATCTATATGAACTCAATCACTAGGGTGGATGGAAATTTTTCACTGACCAAAAAACCTAATTCAGGCTTATTACATTTTAATTTTTGTTTTGCAACTTTATGTGTTAGCTTTCCAGTCACTAGAACAAGATACCTGACCTCAATGATTTAATTTGCTAATAGTTCCGAAGACTTTAGTCCGTGGTTGGCTGGCTCCAGCACAGAAACATCATGGTGGAGAAACCTAACAAAGAAAAGCTGTTAAACTCATGGCAGGTTGATGGTAGAGGGAAGGAAGGAGCAGTGGAGACAGATACACCTCTGAAACCATGACCTCATTGACAACCTCTGCCAGCCAGGTCCCACTCCTAACATCATATTTCACTGTGAATTTATTGATGTATTGATCCAGTGGTGAGTATAGAGCCCCCAAATTGAATCATTTTCCCAAAGCTCTACCTGTGAACACATAAGCTTTTGGAGAGACATTGTAGTTCTAAACCACAAGAGTCAATATTTCCCTGAGACAAAATCAATAGAAAGGTACAGGAATGATAGATATAGATGACAGTTATAGATATAGAAATAGTTATAGATAAGAAAGAGGGTACACAACACACATATATCCATACATGAATGAGAGGAGATATACTAGGGCAATTGTCTCACACAATTATGAATGCTAAAGAAGAAGTCTCAGAACAGACTGTCTACAAGCTGGAGACTCGTACATGCCAAGTGCAACTTTGTCCAAACTTCAAAGCCTCATATCCAAGCAAGCCAATGGCAAAGTGCTTGCTACAAAGCTGAGTTCCTGAGTATCTTGGAAGCTGCTGATACAACTCAGAATTTCCATAGCTGAATTTTGATGTCCAATAGCAGAAAGGGCAGAGTCCAAAAGAGAGTGACAGGACATCCTTTGCTCTGGCTCCTTGTTCTACCTGGGCCTCAGTGACTGGGATTTTTCCCACCCACACTCAGGGTGAGCACTCCCTCTCAGGCTACTGACTCACAATTTAATTTCCTCTGGAAATATCCTCATGGGTACACACAAGTGATGCTGCTTTACTAGTGCTACAGGCATCCCTTAAACCAGTCAAGATGTCACCTAAAACTATTCCCAGTTTTCCATCAGTTAGCATTTCCAACTTACCAAGTTCCCCAATATTGGTATTTTGCCATTATAAAAATAAAGAATGCAGAGTAATTAGAAATAATTAAAGATAAAACTGTGCAGCAACTTTTCTTCATTCCAAATAAGCATAAAATTAAATACTTTTCATTTTTTATTAATTTTCTAATCATGTTTCCTATTTCACATATGAAAAACATCTTATATTTATGCCTTATAAAATGACATTTTTAATGACATTACAACTTATTAAGATGGATGTGCATCTGGATATATTGAATGTATTTGTTCCTTTCTAATTTGACACATTCAAATTTCTAATTTGCAACAACTCTTATGTGCTAATATAAATAAGGAAAAACACAGAATTATTCTCCCAAACCATCCAAAATTTTGGAAATGTTAGCTTTTCTGAAAACACACATGTTTCACAGAATTTAAAAATTCTTTTCTAACAATTCATTTTGCTTCTATACCTAAGATTAATGCATAATAGTAATATAGGTCAAACATATAGCTTTTTAAACATGAGTAGAGTATTGTGAATAACTGCAGCTATATTTTTTTATAGATAATGTGAAAAATCTGAGGGCCACTTCAAACTGACCAGATTTTTATCTCTGTCTTGAATATCTGATACCATCAGTGGCAGTCTATTTTTGGAATTGAAAACCAGTTTGGTCACAGCACAAGTGGAGTGACTGAAGGCTTGGGTAATGGGCTATAAAATCTTTCCCATCTAGGTCACTGATTGATTTGAGACTGTCACCAAGGTAGGTAGAAAAACAGTGATTGCTGCCGTATAGGAACTGTCAAATCATATGAAATGAGAATATGGTCTCAATTCTAGTAGACACATTTCCTCTCTACCCACATAACACACGCTCGTGTACACACACACACACACACACACACAAAAAGACACTCACACTCACACCCCTAATGATTTCTTGGGTCATTTCAGAGCAGAGTAAAATATAAAATACTCTTGGGATAATTCTTTTCCTCTGAAATTGAAGTACAGAAGAGGAACTATTTTGATTAATTCATCCAAGTGTTTTTAGCAGCCAATTTCTGCTCCAGAATTAAGTGAGTACATTTTACCAGGGGGACTCTTTTGTGCTTTTGGTTTTTATTCCATTCTAATGAAGAGATGCAGGGTTCTTGTGTTGTTTGTCTTTTGCTCTTTCACTATATGGCCCCGTAAAGCTATTAATATTTGTAAGAAGCACCATTTGTCTGAATGATTTGACCTAATAAAAATGGAACAAGAATTTAGTTTGATCAGCAAAGAATGTAGAAATTTACTTAAGTAGTAAAGAATGCAGCGGCCTGACTTCGGTATTATGTTTCACCTCATGATTCAGGCATCTTGTTTTCCTTAAATGGTTTCACAAGCAGGAGGGTGACCCAGTGCAGATTCGCAGTGGCTGCAGAGAGAGCAGCTAAACAGCAGATTTAATGAGGTTGGAATTTCACACAATGCCTTATTCAAAGAATTCAAGCAGCCAGAGAGCAGTTGTGGTGAATTGCAGTTGCCCAGGGCTTTGCATCAAGAAGCAAAATCTTTTCCCACAAATAGTTTATAAATGTTCAAAAATAGATGTCAATTTCATTTAGCTTTAAGATTTAAACATTTGCCAAGGTGGGGAATTCAAGTACTCACATTGTTAAAATTAAGGAAATTAGTTTATGGTCTAAAAATACAGAGCTGCAATTATTTCTCTAAGGTCAAAAGAATAAAAAATATTTCCTAAGAGATTTTGATGTGCTGGAAGTTTACCTTTTTCCTTTCTCACTTTATGTTTGTGCCATATCTTACATCTTATATTGCATTTCTTATTTGTCTATCTCCCCTACTTAAATTTCAACTCCATGAAGATAGGTATTAATGCACCTTAAAGACTCAATATGTGGTTGCTGAATGAATATTGAATAGAAAATGATGATCATTCATTCATATGCTGCATGCTCAACTGAGAAATAAAAGCACTTACATTTTTACTCTATCTTATTCCCTTAAGAGCTATCAAGGTAAAAATTTGACAGATAGTTCACTTTTTTATGAAGGTAATGATCAGCTTTAATTTCATGAATTCAACATTCGGTTTCTATGAAATTCCTTTTCATTTTCATCATGGAATTATTGTTCTAGGTAGGCCATTTTTACATTATTTTAGACCTGATGATAAAACTACAATTATAAAAAGGACAGATACTGCAGCTTCTAGGAATTCATATTAGAAATGAGAACAACCTCTCCTTGTATTAGAACTCTGTGATTTTGAACATTTCTATTGAATCATTGATCACTTTTGAACCATGCAGTCCCAAAAAGTCATAGGTCAAGGATGCCCACTCTCACCACTCCCTTTGATATAGTCCTCAAATATCATCCACAACAATTAGAAAAGTGAAAGGAAAAAAAAAGAAATATGGACAGGAAAGGAATATGTTAAATTACCATTATCTGCTAATGACATGGTCCTCTACATAGAAAACTCCAAAAATTCCAACAAAAACTCCTAGAAATAATAACTGAATTTGATAGCATAGCAGGATGCGAAGCCAATACTCAACAATCAATAACATTCCTGTAAACTAATATCTTATTCACTAAGAGAGAAACTAGAGAAACAAGACCTTTCACAATAACTTCAAGCAAAATGAAGTATTTTGGAATCAACCAAGCTAATGAAGAAAGTGGAAGACTACTATAATGAAAAGTATAGTACCCTGAATAAGGAGAGCAAAAAAAGATATCAAAAAATGGAAAGATATTTCCTGTTTTTGGAGAGGCAGAACAATATAGTGAAAATGACCATATTTTCAAAAGTGTTATACAGACTTAATCCCAATCAAAATATACATAGCACCCCGTACAGAACAAGAGAAAACAAGTCTAAAATGCATATGAAACCAGAAGAAGCCTAGAATAGGAAATCAATTGTGGGCCACAGTGTAAGACTCCAAAATCCCAGACAAGTTATACTACAAAGCTGTAGTCATAAAAACAGTCTTGTATTGGTAAACAACAACAAAAGACAAACAAGCACAAAATAAAACAGACTTGTAGATCTACGTAACAGAACAGAGGATGCACAACAACTCCGGGTATGCTTATCTTTAATAAATGGGCCAAACACTGTCACTGAAGGAAAGATGGCCTATTCAGCAAATAATGGTGAGAAAATTTGCCATTCACATCCTGAAGATTAAACCTAGATCCATATCTCTCACCAAGCACTAAACGAAAATAACAATAGGTCAAAGATTTAAACATTAAAATAGAAGCAATCTGATTTGAATATAAATAGGTAAAATGTCTTAAAAACATAGCTCTAGGTGAAGATTTTATGAACAAAGCTGTGGTAGATCAGGAAATATTGTCCAAAATATCAACAAGTAGGATCACATCAAATTAGAAAGCTTCTGCACAGTAAGGGAAATCAACATAGTGAAGAGGCAACCTACAGAATGGCAAAAACTTTTGACAGCCACTCTGCAGACAGAAAACTATTATCTAGAATATATGAACTCTAAATATTAGATCCCATCCCAAATGTGAGTACCCAAACTAAAAACAGGCATCTTAAATGAACACATATTCCAGATGAAGAAGTACAAATGTTTAACAAATACAGAAAAAAAAAATATTCAACATCACTGCAAATTAAAACAACACTGAGCCTCAATCTCACCTCAGAAAGTATGGCTATCACCAAGAAATCAACCAATAACAAATGCTGAGAAGGCTGTGAAGACAAAGGAACCTTTTTCTCTTGGTGGGAGTATAAACTGGTACAACCACTGTGGAAAACATTATGGAGATTCTTCAAGAAACTACAACTAGAGGTTTCGTTCAGCTCAGATGTTCCCCTTCTAGGTAGCTTCCATAAAAAGTTAGAGACATCATATTACAGTGATACATGCTACCCATGTTTATAGCTGCAAATTTATAATAGCTCAATTTTAGAAGCAGCCTATATACTCATCAACAAATTAATGGAGGAAGAAGTTGTGATATTATATGCAGTGAAGTACTTCTCTGCCATAAAGGACAAACCCAGGTATTTTTAGGTAAATGAATGTACCTTGAGATCAAAATGTTAAGTGAAATAAATCAGGCACATACGTTTAAAAATCATATCACTTCACTTATGTGAGAAATCCAAAGTATAAACACAACCAAATTGTAGAACAGACATCATGAAGTTGGAAGAACTTGTTCAAATGGAAAAGGGAACAAGAGAGGGATGGAGGGAGAAGGGAAGGAAGGGAAAGGATTTAAGAAGAGAAAAATCACTGAAAGTGAAAAACTGGAAGTAGAGCTTCCGTAATGTGAAAGGGAAGAAGTGTTGGAGGGAGGGGAGGAGAAAGGGACCAAAAAGACTTAAGATATGCAGTATACATGGTCACATCCCCCGTGGTGAATGTAATTGCTGTGTACTGCAAATATCTACTAACAAAAATAAAATGTGAGAAAAGACATTTTTAAAAAGTCAATGAAATAAAGGATATTGGGCTAGGAGTTCAGTGATCATACAAATTATCATCTAAATTTGGACACTTTTGTCTTGAAAAAAAAAAAAAAAACCTCTCAAGTTACTGGAAAAACAAGCATGAAAGACTCTGCAAGGGGAACAAACCAGAGTGTCAGGTCACCTTCAGTGAAAGCATCCTGACCCAGAGCACAGTTAGCACTATTGCAGATGATTTCCAGTTCCATTTTCCAAGTTGTGCATTTACAATGTCTTTGCAAAGCCTCAACTCAGACTTGACTGGAAATATAAAACAATTTTTTCATTTTGCTAGAAAGAAAATAATTTTTTACCTCAGTGCTGTCATTGAATAACTATCTTTAAACTGGGGTTCTTTCTAAGAATATGAGTCTACGGCCATACCACCCTAAACACGCCTGATCTCATCTAAGAATATGAAAGCAGACAACTACGATCGAGTTAATTTATTGGTTCTAACATTCTAGAGCAACTCTTTCCTAGCATCGATTATTTGTTTATTTTCTGATAATTATTTTCGTAATTTAATTAATACTTATTTGCAAAAACCACAATTTTCCATTCATTCATCTTATTAGATAATTCCAAGTATTAGATAATTCCATTGCTCTTATATGATATCTTCATGAGAGTTGAAACACATGCATGAGCATATTTTCTGAAGGGATATAATATATTTATCATTTGCTTTGATACTTCAGTAGTCTATAATATTTGTGGTTCATTATATTAAATTATTACAAATTATGAATCAGATGACATAACATTAACCAAATTAAATTAATTACATTAAATTCACATTGTTTAAGTTTCATTTAACTTTTTAATATTGTTTTTTAATAAGATGCATTATGTAATTTATTTCTTTCTTTTTGGGTATTTATCAAGTGGTTATTAACAATGCATTTAAATCTAAAAAATAAAGTTCTCCTACATAATGTCTGACTTCACTCATTATTGCACTAGTGAGAACGAGCATTATTTCTGAAATAGCAATGTCTGTCACATCCCTAAAAATAGTCGACAGATAACTCAACTTTGGTGAAACAAGAATTTTAGAGTGGGTGAAAAAGTATTTCATGCATTGCACTTTCAGAGGTGTTACAGTATTTCAGTGTTATCAAATAACTCTAAGACTATTACCTTACACCAAGTGCCCACCAAAGAAAAGACTAACAGACTTAAACTGTGTTCATTTGTTGTGTTACAAAATTAGCAGTTTATTTTGTTGACATCATTGAAGAAAGAATTTGATATTGCCTATTTCCTTCTAAAGTTGAATATTTATATGTTCTATGTTTCAGAATTCTACTCTGACATATGCACTTAGGAGAAACCCTTGCACGTAAACTATGAGACTTTGTAAGTATAACATAACAGCAAAACCTGGAATTCATTTGAACACTCACTATGTATAACCAGATGAATAAATCTTGTGTTCATGTTTCGTTGCCATATACCACAGTAGTCAAACTAAATGAACTATACAAATGTTCCATAGCATGGATGAATCACAGCAACACACTCTCAGTGAAACCTTTGTGAACAACTTTGTTGGCACTGAGAGCAAAAGACTCCCCTCTCATATGGAAAATATGATCATATTAGGCTGGGGATATAGCTCAGCGCCACAGTGCCTGCCTGGCAAGTGTGAGGTCATGAGTTCAATTTCCAGTACCAAAAGGAAAAGAAGAAAACATGACCAAATTACTAATTATGTTTACCAACTACAGGCACAACATTTTAGAAATGGTGCCGGTTTTAAGAGATTCTTTATGCCCACATTGAAATGTTCTATTTTTGTGCATTTGCATTTCACAATTATACTAGTGTTGAAAATATTTCTTAATGAGAAAAATTTAAATATAAATGCAAATTCAGCTCACCTTTTCCCAAAACAAAGATAGTGAAAGATTGTTTTTCAATCAGCTAAGCATATTTATTAAATCCTAGAGCTCTCTGTTATGAACAATTAAATCATCTAAAGCTATTCAAGAATGACTGGAACTCGTCACTGGCTCTGAAAGCAAAATATTTCTTCCATACTTGACAATCAATAACAAAATCTAGGATATATTTCACTTAATGAGCATTTATTTATTATGTAGTGACTGTAGGGAAATATGCCTTTGTGAACAATAAACACATAATTTAGCTTCTCTTTCAATATTTTTTGTAAGATAGAGGTCTAAAAGTTCTCTATTTTTACCAAGGTGTACAATAAAATGCTACAGCACTAGGAATATGCCATACAGATGTCATTATCTCTTTAGTCTTGGCAGAATCTGCCCCAGGCAAGATTGTGATGGAGAGGATTGACACTGACACCACCAGACCTACTTTCAGCAGCTTTTCCCCCTCTCTTCAGAGTGCTTCTTTTTTCATCCTTCAGGAACTCTATATCATTGTGAAACTCCCTGACCTCTGCCAATTAAATGTGCTCCCAGCAAAGGGTTCAGTCTCACTTGTTCATCCCTCACTGTCAATTTAAGGAAAGGTATTACTTTACCAGGGTTCTTGACATTTGAAGCTATCATTCTAATTGTGGAATTGGTGGCTTTGTCCTCTGGAAAATCAGATCAACTACTTAAGGGGACTTACCTTCTAATGTAAAAGTCATAGCTTCCCTGACTTGGTGAGGAAAAAGAAAAAGAAACTTACCAAAGAGTCACTTCTATAAGCAAACATGAGTGATTGAAAGATTAATGCTCAATTAGTGATTCCTAGGTTGCCAATTAAACCTCCTGACCACTCAGTTACTAATGATGGCAGTTACCGTACACAGGGCTTGTCATTGTTTGCAGATCTGTCTCTTAGCTTTATGACCAGTGTAACATATTGTTCAAACTGAGCCCTGTCAACATTAATTGTTTCACACTACAGTAGCTCTGCTGCTACTGTCATTGCCAAGGTATTAATATTGATTCAGGCCCACTACATTGTGTCCTCGAAGCCTCTCTTCTTCTTGAATTCGATAGGATTATTTGCACTATTTCACTTTGTCATACAGCTCATGCATTAGTATTCAATGGTTTTCTGTGTCTATCATGCAATCCAGACTACATCTGAGAAACTAATTTCAGGGTTCTGGATTATTGAGGTTGTCTATCATAATCTTTAACTACAATCCTTTTATTCAATTATTAATTGTGAAGTTAAGATATACAAAGGACCAGTGTGAACTCATGGCATCTGTCTTACTTGCTTTTCTCTTGTTGAGCCAAAATGCCCAATGCCCAAAGTTAAAGGAGGAAAGATTTAACTCATGTGTTGTGGAGGTTTCAGTCCATGGTCAGCTGGCTCCAAGGTAGGGTGTCATGTGGCAGGAGGGCAGCAGTTCATGGCAGTGGAAAACAGCAAAAGCAGCAAGAGCAAAAGAAAAAAAACATGAGGAGAGAGAGGAAGCATCTTTCCCTTCCTGTAGTGGTTACTTGATTGTGTCAACTTGAGAAGTTTAGAAGCTTAACTAAATTGGCTCAGTAATTCCACACAGTAAGGTGTAGAGGACCTGCCCTAGGACAGCACATCACATGGATGGCATAAAAGGGAAAAGAGGAAGGTCAGATGGGCTTCCATTCTTTGGAGGAGCTTCAGTCTTTGCCTTTAGCTTGGACATTGTCTCCTAGCTTCTAGTGTAGACACTTTTCCCTTCTGTCCTGGTTTCTTCAGCCTTCTGGTATAGACTCATCAGCCTTCCATCATGGATACATTGGCCTCCTTACAAGGACTTGCATGGAATACTGCAGTGAACTCCAGACCTTGGACTGAAACCTTCAGTCTCCAATGTGCAGACACCCTCTGCACGCTTCCTTTCCAACCCTGTGGTTGACTGTAGTAAGCTGATCTTGTAATTTTTTATACATTAGTATATCCTAGGTTATATCTGGTGCTCTAGTAAAACCTTGACTGATATAGTCCTTTATATTGTATGCAGACTGCCTGCCCAAGGGCTGGTGTAGCACTCACACCCATAATCCCAGCACTAGACCACCTATTATTCACAAACTCTAGAAGGTTGCTCCCATGACTGCATGAGGTTTTGGGGAGACATCTCGACACAAACTACAACAGCATCCATTCTCTAAGTACCCCAGCAGATTTTCCTGAAAATGAAAGGAAGGACAATATATGCATTTCACTGGGACCTCAATTATAAAAATAATTGTGGAGGGGGAAACACATCTATGCTTGACAAAAGGGCTGCTGGCCTCTGGGCATTGCAAATATTGTAAGGAACCACATTTATTCTGCAAAAAACCTACACAAGGGGAGCCATCAGTAAGCTTTATAGGGATACATAGGTAAAAGCGTCACTAAGAGGGTAGTTCATCTGATTTTATGTCTATGTTTTCTACAAGGAACATGTGTGCATATTTACTAATAGATGAGCATTCTTATATTGAAGTAGATATGGACTGTTACTATGAATAAATAGTATATTATTTGTCTCTCTGTCTTTGTTCCCTCTGTCTCTGTCTCTCAATTTCAGATTGAGAAAACATTCCAAAGCCTTTGAAAAATATTAATTATTTCTTTTCTTAATTATTTTAGTACACACATGAAAACAAAATTACTAACTCAAACATGAAGCTTAATTTCAGTAACTGGTTTCAAACTTGTGACCTAAGAGTAGGATACTCTAGATTACATTGCATATCTCTTGGGCCATCCAAGTTTCTGTATATAATTATTTATGAATTTATGTTGTACTATATTAAAATCAGGTTAATTTAAATTGTTTTAATATACTTTCCAAAATGAAAGTGAATATTAAATGTTCTGGCACATGACCTCCAGATGTACTCAAAATGAAGATGATAAAGGAGGAGTATAATTAAACATCTGTTCATTAAGGAGATTACAGAAGACCACAGCAATGTAAAGAATTGTATTGAGTAAGGTTACATTCATTTAGAGAAAAGACTTCCAGTGCAATTATAAGTACAAACACTGGACTTGGAAAATTTTTCTTACATGTCTGCAGAAATTTATTTAAAAGTTGATATGTTGATGAATAATTATGCTCAGCTATTTATGAACCCACTCCCTGGGCCTGGCTCCAAGATGGAGAGTCATAACTGATGTGTTTGAACTTGTCGGAGAGTTAGAAACTTTTCTTTATCCTGCATGCACCCCAAGAGGCCTTGGAGATTACATATGTATACTAAGGCCAGGATTTGATTTAGTGCTTTTTGAATTACAGTGAGTTTTGTCTTTAGTATTTGTACACCATGTATTTCATCTTATCAGTAACTAACATTCTTTTTCATTCTCCACTGTATGCAACACTCAGTTGCCAACTTAAGAAAAGTCTCATGCCATCTTCTCATTTAGAATCCAAACACAGGGCTGATTGGAGGAAATCCCTCTTTCCTTGGGGAAACAGCACGTCTAATGTGAATAACTTGCATGCACATGAAAGATAAGCGATGATCCTTGTTGGCACTGTTGCTCTCTTATGCATTTCTAGAATCTTCTTGTAAGAAGATTTGACAGTGTTTGTGCAATCAGAAGTGTGGTAGAGCTCATCTTGTCATAAAGAAGGAGTAAGGTGAGAAACAGCTATGTTCTTCTATAATAGCTTCAGAGATGCAACAGTTAAAGCAGTATGTAAGAGTTTAGGCAATTCATAAATACAAATTTTTGGACAAACAACAAAGGTACATCTGGAGACCATGTACTCAAATGCATAAAACTAATGAAGATAATATAAAAAGATACCTAAATTAGATTTTCTTTCTTTTTTTCATACATGAATACATCAACATTTAAATTTTTATGCTGTAAGTGGAATGATTATACAGTGATGATGATTCCTTGCTTTTTACATTGTGGAAGTAGACACATACATAGCTTCTGTGTATATCTTTGTGCACAGTATTCCTCTTTTTATAGGAACTCCAAATAATACTGAATCAGGCCAAGCTCTAATATCACTTTTATTGGATTACCTATGTGTGGGGGGGAATCTCTCTTCAAAGGAGGTCACACAGCAAGTTACTTCATGTTAAAATTTCAGCATACAGATTTGCTGGTGGGAGTATATAATACTACACACAACAGGACTATTGGCAGCATTTAAATAGAGAAATATTGATTGTTAAAAGATATACATGGGTATACTGCCACAAACAGGATACAGATTAGTTTCATCATTCCAAAAATTCTCTTGACACTGTTGGTAATTAGTTCTCCCCACAATGACAGTGTCTGGTAAGCAGTGATTTGTTCTCATTATTTTGTCTTTGAAAAAAATATCTTGAAAATGAAATCATAAATACATAGACATTAAACCTGATTTTTTCTCTAGGCTTAAACTTTTTAGGAGTCATCCATATATTTGCATGAATCTGTAGATCTCTTTTATTTTTAAGGCTGAATAGCATTTTTTGGTAGGAATGTTAGCGCAATTCATTTGTCTATTCTCTTATCAGTTAATATTTCCATGATTCTCAGATGTTTTGGTATTCTAAATGAACCTTGGTAGACTTGTGCATAGATATTTATGTAAGTGTGTTAATTATTTCTATCCTGTTGGGTCAAGTCTCTAAATCATATAAAACTTTTGTGTTTACTCATATAAGAAACCACCACATTATTTTTCAAAATTATTGCACAATTTTTCATAGATATAAATGTACTATTTTTTCCACATTTATTATCAGTTACCAGTTGTATTTTGTTTGTTTGTTAATATTGGCCTTTCCAGTGGGTTTGTTCAGATGTCCACTGTTTTAGATTTAATTTACATGTTCCTAATAACTGAAAATGTTAAACACATTGTGTATATTTAGCAACTGTAATTCTTCTTTTGAGAAATATGTACAACTATTTGCCTGTATTTTTAGTGTATTTTTTCTCCTTTTGATGCAAAATATTTCTATTTACATTCTTTTAAAATAATTTATTGCATATACATTTTAACTTATGTATTTAAATTATATTTAAACTGATGCATAAAAACATAAAAGTTTTAAGTAGTTATGAGAAACCATGTGATCTTCTGATATAAGTATACATTGTGGACTGTATAAATCGTGTAACACTTATATCTCTTCAAAATTTTATAACTTTTTAAGTTGGTGAAAACTTTTAAAAGATTTTTTATAGTTTTTGATATATATATGTAGTATACTATTGATATTTATAGTCATGCTACAGTGCAATAGCACAGCAGAATTTTTTCTTCATGCATTTGTGATCTTATATTCACAACATTTCTTATTTACTTTTTTTTAAAGAACAGAATATATTTATTGAAAGAAAGAAAAAAAACTTCTGTCCAAGAGAGGGACAGAAGTGTGTCCGGGTGGATTACCCCTACATTTACTTTCAATTTCCTTAAAAGATTTTCAGTTAATGATATCAACAATATGAATATTTATGATTTTTGTGACTTCTGCAAAAATCACCCGGATTCTTTCTGTTTTTTACTAGAATTTTTGTAATTTTAGGGTTTATGTCATGATCTTGAATTAATTTTGTCTAATTTAAATGGTTTATTTATTTACTTTTGACTATGGATAATTTTCTTATTAAATTATCTTAACTTTGAATATCAATCAACTGTGTGTGTGTGTCTGTGTGTGTGTGTGTGTGTTTGAATCTTTTAGAAACACCCTTTCTCCTATTGCTCTGCATAATTTCTGTTCTTCAAATACCTCACCCTTATGATTAATGAAGTTTTAAAATATACCTCAAACCACAGTAACATGTACTTTACTTCAATTTTAAAGCTGAGATATAATTCACACAGCATCAAAGTCACAATTTTAAAATATCACAATTCAGTAAACAAGTTTGTGCAACTGTCATCTAATTTCAGAAAATTTTTATCACTCCAAAAATAAACCTGTTCTCTTGAGCAGTTACTGCTTATTCTTCCTCCTACAAATATTTGTTCTAGTATTTTGATGGGACCATTGTTCTTCTGTCTGAGTGAAAGGGACTCCTGACTCTTAAGGTTGCAAGAACAGGGCCAGCTCCCTATTTGGCTGAAAGAACAGAACATGTAGTTGCAGAGACTGTTCTTGTAACTAATGGAGTATGGTTTTATGGATTGTAGATTCATCTGTGATTCTTTTTATTTTCAGTTTCATACTTTTGCAGTAGGAAAACTACATGTGTGTGTTGCTTTATAACATGAGAGTATAATTTTATTTGGAAATCCAGATGGTGCAAAATTAAACAAGTTAAAATGACAATCTACTCAAGAAAGTGGGCCATAACCCAGTATCTGGATTTCTTATAAGAGAAGGGTAATTTGAATACAGGTACATTTTCCATGTTATCTCATTTACATTTCTCATTGTAGACATGAAATACCCAACACCTAAAGCTAAAGGAGGACACCTTTATTTTAGCTCCGTTTGTAGAGGTTTCAGTCCATATTTGGCTGGCTCCCAGGCAGAGTGGCATGGCGGAGGTGTTTTGCAGAGGAGAAATAGTTCATTGTGGGCAGAAGGTAGCAAAGTAGTAAGTTATGAAGAAGTAGCAGCCTGCCTCTTCCTTTTGTCTCTTCCAGGTTACTTGCCCTCTGGGTGGTACCATGAAGACAGAGTGTGGACCTTCCTATCATCTACAGTCAAAACTATGCCAAACCAATCAATGGGCTGATCTAGTAATCACACACCCTTAATCCTAGCATCATACAGCCTAGTTTCAGCCACCTTTCAAAAGTCCCGCCTATGACCACATGGGATCCTTCGGGGGAACATCTAGGCACAAGCCATAACACACGGGAACATGAAAATAGAAATTATAAAAATACATAAAGAAGACAAAGGAACCAAGGAATGCCAACAACGTAAGAACTCAGATGAGTCAATAAGGATCTTCCCCTAGAGCCTGCGGAGGGCACATGACTGTCTTAACACTTTGATTTCAGATTTACAGATTCTGTAAACCTGAGCAAACAGCTTTCTGCTTTACCTGTGGTTTGTAGCAATTTGATGCTCTGGCCTCGGGAAACTAACATAGCTGAGTATGTCTAAAATGATGGAAAATAAATTTCACATTTTTCTCTATACTTGGAATTTCCAGCATCCCTTATTTACTCTTCTAAATGTACTTTTCCACTTGATATATTTTTTATCTTGGAAAAACTGCTTTAAATGTTTCTAGTACTGTAAATCCATTGACAGTAGAGTCTGTTCTCCTTATTTTAGTTTTAATATCATAGCCATTTTTAACCTCTGAATACTTTTAATATCTGAATGTGATTATTAGATGTGGAATAATTCAATAGGAATGTCAGATAATAATTTTTTTTCTTTCTAATATTTTTATAATAGTGCTCCCTGGTCTACTGCATGTCTGTATTTCTAATGAGAATTCAGCTGTATTTTTGTGTCCTTGATTGCTACTTTGAATTTCTTAACCTTTGTTTCTTATCACTGTGATGTGGTGTCTAGGTGACTTAAAAATGTGTCTCCTTTTTTTTCTTTCTTTCTTCCTTCTTTTTAATATTTATGACCTCAGGTTTGTGGTTTATGTTGATTTATTAATTTTAGAAATAGTTTAGTTATTATTTATTCAAATATTTCCTGTGTTCCATTATAATTTTCTTTCCTTTTTGAGACTAGTTATTCATATATTCAATTTGATATTACCATACATTTCTTGGATATTGTTTTGTCTCTGTTTTTTTACTTACATGTTTCCTCATTGTGCTTTCATTATCAATTTCTGATTCGCTTGTCCTAATGTACAGTTCCTAATCCTTTCCTCAGCACTCTCTATTCTACTTATTCATCAGTAAAAATCCTAAATCTCTAATGTCATATATTTTTATTTCAAGCATTTCATTTGAGTTTATAGTTCTGTCACTCTTATAAGTTTAGATCTCTTCAGGAATGTTTTTTTACCTCTTATTATAATAATACCATTGATTAAATATGTTAGTGTGCTAATCATTGCTGTTCTCTAGAACTAATCTGGTCAATCCCATACTTAAAACTTTGTTGAATCTAGTTTTCTACTGCTTCATTTCTTTTTTTAATTTTAAAGAGAATCAAAACACAAAGTAACAGCAACATAGACAAAAACAAAGCATCACAAAACAATGAAAATGATATAGGGTTTCAAGACAAAATGATAGGAATTAATGGTGGTTGTTATATTACATATTGTTATCTTCAATGAAGTTTCTCAGATTACCAGATTTAAGAATGCAAGATGGATCAAACCATTAAAAAAATAAAAGTTATTAAAAAAAAAAGAAACAATACAGATCTTCACTAAACAAGATGGTAGGAGTTCAGCAATGGTTGTTATATTGTATATTGTTGTCTTCAAATTAGTTGCTCAGATTACCAGACATAAGTATGCAAAATTGGTCAAAAAATTTAAACATTAACTGTTCCTTTCAATAGACCAGTAGACACCTATTACTTTATTTCTTGACTAAGTCTTTTGCTTTAATTTACTTTTATGTGTTTGTAATTTTTTTATTGTATGCTGAGCATCAAATTGGAATAATAGAAACTGAGGTCAAGGATATTTATGCACAATAATGGACAATCTTGTGCTTTCATGAAGCTGTGTGTGTGTGTGTGTGTGTGTGTGTGTGCACGCACATGCGCACACCCATGAGTGAGTGTGCATGTGTGAAGGGGTATGCAGCAATCTAATGAGTGGTTGAGGTAAAACTGAAATTGACAATAGCAATTTTTATCTTGGTATTCTTTAAGCTTCAAATTTCTTCTTTAATTGACTGTTTTTTGTGCCTAATATAAAGACTGCTGTATAAAAAATAGTATCTTTTCTCTCCTTTTAAAATTTGCTGTATTCAAATCTCATCTTTCACTCTTATCCTTTCTATCAATGTCGTGCTAATGCTTTTATTCATTGTTATGTTCATGGTGAGGTGAACATAGCATCAGTTATCTTTTAACAGCCTCTGACTCGGCCTTCTCAACATTATTATCCTTTTACACTATGGTATTGAAACTCTGGACTTTTGTAGAAGATTAAGTTTTCTGACTGTTCTTTAGGAAATGCAGACCCCTGTTTTTATGGGCAGTAAGTAATGGATATAGGTGCTACTCCTACTCAACCTTGTGACAGGTAGAATTTGCTTCCAATTCTTCTCCCAAAGCAGTAGATATTTGATTTGACCCTAGAGGCAATGAAATTTTGCTGTGCATGCCCTAATAGGTTAAGGATTTACTGTACAAGTCAAAATGACCAAGGATGCTTCTTCACCTTTATCCTGGTAACGTGGCCAACTACTTTCCCGGTTCCTATGCCTTTGACAGGGGCTTCCTCCAGCTTCCACACTTTCCTGGTCTTTATCAGCAACCCATAGAAGCCTGCTGAAAGAAGGTGGAATGTGCAGACAAGATCTTTTATTGCTCTTGCTCTTCTTGCGCTTGTTCTTTTTCTTCTTCTTCTTCTTGAAACTATTAACACAAATTCTTAACATTCAGTAAAATTTTAACTAGTTTTATTTCACCCACTTTTATGATGGCAACTTTTTTCTATGTTTGCTCAAAGTGAAAGAGTAAATATTCATTCATTTCAGGAGAGAATTATTAGCCTTTAGGATTCATATATCTTGGTGGCTTTGTGCTCTCATCTTTCCAAACTGGTTAAAAGAAATTATACTTCTTCAGGTTATCTATTTTCATCATTATACAGGAATAGAGTTTTCTTCTGTCTTTCTATGTTCCAGGGAAGGCCAAATAATTGTTAATTACTTGATATTTACTATATCTTGGAATCCAAACAATAAAAAATTTCATCAAATATGAACCAACTAGTTTAAAATTTTGCTTAACCTTAAACTATTATTTTATTTACAAATAAGGATATTCAAACTAGAAAACACTTCAACTGAAAAGTAATAAATAGAAATAAATGAAAGTATTAGCCATTCTCATAACGTTCAGCAATATTATAATTTATGTATGTGCACTTATAGTGCTACAAATTACACTACTCCATTTCTACGTTACACCAGTTTGATGTGTCTGAAATACATACATGATTATGTCATCTACTTGCTTCTAATCTTTAGTAGTTCTTTCTTTGCTTTTTAAAGCAGGCAATAAATGTCCTTATCTTATCATTATGTCTCAGGCCTTCAGAAGACCCTGGCCCTGCTTATCTCTCTGGAGCTGTTTTCCTTCTTCCCAGTACTGCTTGCACTCCTTCATAGTGATTTGATTTTAGTTCCTAGAATGTGCACTGCTCCGTCTTTCCCATGAAATTTCACAAATGCTTTCTTCTCTTTCTGGATTAATCCTTCTGTCTCCAGCCCTGCTCCCTTCCCTGGCTATCTCCTTTTCTACCATTTATTACTCAACGTAGAAGTTACTCTTTCTAAATAGCTTCCCTTGAGTGCTAATGCAGGTGGGTCCACCTCACTGTGTTTCACCAGTTACATCTCCTGCTGTTGTTGCCTTAATCTCCATGTTACTTACAGTATCATGAGAAATGGAAAATCAAGGATTATGTCTATCCACTGTATTCATTGCTTTCTTGGCACCTCTATTCAGTACTAGGTATATAGGATATAGCCACTGAATGTGAATGAATACATATCCTTCTTATTTACTGGCCATTACTTTTTTAAATACAGCTATGGAATATTGGACAATTTTACCTGTTGCTGGATGAAATCCTTTGGTAACAAGTACATGATTGATTTATCTTTGAACATTTGTTCATTTTTCGCTTATGTAAGGATGAGTGAGTGCGGTTATTGGGCAGGACGCCCATAAAGGAAAAATAGAATTTAAATAAAGAGTGACGTCAAATTACTGAATCACTTTTAAATTCTCTTTATAGCATAATGAATGGAATTACTCATTTCCATCAAACTGGGCTACAGAAATAAAAGTGGACAAGTTGGACTTTATGTTTGAATTCAATGAAAGGAAGGAACAGTTCTGTTTCAGAAGCTTACTCACCACTTCACATTTGCTGGTGTAAATAAGTATGTGTACTTACGTGACAACAACTTTCAGTACAATGGGTTAATTCTATCCAAATTTGTTCTTCGAATATGGAGTATATTAGTTTGGAATTAAGTCTAGTTTGTGGTTTGGTGAAATACACTTCAAAATGTCACACTTTGAAAGCCACAAGAGACATTAATAATCATCTGAGACACATAAAAGGTAATGATTAGGAAGTATTTACCATGTGGCAGGCAATATGCTAAGCTTCATATAAGAATTATTCGTGAATTCTCTAACTCTGGTAAAAGCAGTAAAACTTGTATAAAATACTGTAAATAAATTTGAAATTAATAAGACAAAGCTAAAAACAATACGCTTTTTCTAAAAAGAAGGAAAAATCTTGAAATAAAAAATACAGATGAAATGAGAACTTAATTATTAAATGAGACAGAATACCCACCTGCTGCTTTGTGGCTGGCTATTCTTGGTTTCTATTCAAACATACAATTAAGAAAATTGATACAATGGAAATTTGAATAGACAGTTGGCAACATTAAATACTGATAGTTACTTTAGATAAGGTAATGAGTGTCATTCTAAAAATAATGTTACCTTGTGTCTTGGAATTACATATTGAAATATAAATAGATGTTCTGATCACTAGAATATACCTCATAATAATCTTATCTTGGGAGAAGGAGATACATAAAATAGACTATAAATTGGTGATGGTAAATAATGAATGATAACTGCATGGCGTTTCATTGTACTCTTTTTTATGCTTTTTTTTGAGACAAGGTCTTGCCATGTAGTTCAGGCTGGCCCTGAACTCACTATGTAACCCATACTGGCTTTGATCTCACAGCAATCCTGGTGCCTCAGCCTCTATAGTGCCGGGATTACTAGTGTGCACCACCATGCTTGGCTCT